GGCAATGTTACTGTGCTGAGAGGTTTCTAGGACCTCAAAGTCTGTGTTATCAACTTGCAAAATAATCCCATTTGTTTCTTTTTTTTTAATTTTAAGATGGGGTCTCACTGTTTGCTTAGGGCTTTGCTGAGGTGCTGAGACTGGCTGAACTGCATCAGCCTCTCAAGTCACTAGGACTACAGGCATGCACCACCAAGCCCATCCTGACCTCCCTTTTAATTTCAGAGGACTTCTGCATGCAACAAACTCTCCAAAGTCTCTGCTGCCATTGCAGTGCCCAAGGGCTTTGTGTTTCCTGAGCAGCCCAGATCCAAGTGGCTACAGAAGTGGGAGCACAAAGTCTCTATTTTGCCCAATGAAGGCAACACTTGGCAGGGCATATTTACTCCAGAGGACTGAGGCTTCCGAAGGTCCATCTGGACTTCTCTTCAAACACCTCACATCCCAAACTCCACCTCAGCATTGCCACCAGGAGACCTGACCCTCAGTACACTTCACCCCCAGCCTTATCTGTCTCTAAGCCAACTCAATGACACTTCCTCGTACAGAGTGGACACTTGGAGTCCTTGCAAACACAAGGCAAGATCAGAAACCAATTCTGCCCTCCTAGCATGCTACCCTATGAAACAGGAGATGTGCATGAGGCAGGCCACAGCCCTGTCTACTCGGCCTGGAGGAGACTGAGCTAAGTGACCCTTGAATCAATCTTCACATCTCTCACAACCTAGCAATCTAGCAACCAAAAGCAACACACATTCACCTTACCCTAGAGGCAGCAAATGACATGAAGTCAATTTGACATTTTGATACCTTATATTCATAAGTCGAGATCCTAGTCACCAGGAGGATGGCACTAGGAGATGGAGGCCTTTGGGGACAGGTTTAGGACAAGCAACCCCAGTGAGCTGGCTTACTCCTTCACCTGGGTGAGACACAGGGAGGGGCACTGTCTATGAAAAACCCAGTGAACCTGGCTTCACCTGGTCTAGCACTTGCCACCTCCAGAACTTTATAACTTTAAAGTCTGTATTAGGATAATAAAATCCTCTCCCATCCCATTTATAAATATGACTTTTTTTAGAAATGGCTTATGTGTTTCTGCGTGCAGTTTCACCACTATAAAATACAAAAAGGAGAGACAAATTTACTAATTTTCGTGTGACTCTTACAGTTCCACAACTATACCCCCTACAATATGTGTCAGTCCTCATTTTAAGAGTGTCACACTTTATTTTTCTATACTGCTTAAGATAAGGATGCACTTGTCTGGACTATATATTTACCTGTATAAACTCTTACTGGGAGCTCACGTTGGGGGCTCCCCTGAACACGGTGACCTTTTAACTGGATTGTCCAGTGTGGAGTGGAGGCTTCTAAGAGAAGGTGGATCCCCTGAACATTGATGTTAGACTCACTTCTTGGTACCTGAGGAACCCCTTGGGGGTGGTGCAAAGAACACTGCTTTGGGGCCAGTTGTGTGGAAGTGAGAAGGACCACACCCACTAAGTACGAGGTCTCCCTTGTGCCCTGCTGGCCCTTGCTTATATTGGCCCCACTTCTTCTCAGCAGAAAGGCCCCCTGGTTGACAGGTACATCTCAAGTTATAGTGGAGGCTCAGAAGAGGACACCTGGCAGGTAATGCTCAGAGTTACTTAGTGAATGTCCAGGATCACGGAAAGTGGCTTTCATCCAAAAAGGTAAACTCGTGAAAAGATTTTGGAGAAGAGGTTGGAGGTACTTTTATGGTTGACCATAATTTATTACAAAAAGAAGAATGGATGAGAGAAGGGAAGAAGGGTAAATCTGGAAGACAGTAAGCACTTAGTTTGATACAGAAAAATGCTAAAGTATGCATGCATTTAAACCGTGATGATCTGGAGTTATATGTAGCATTTTATGACAACATCAAATTTTAGTTGCTTCACATTTCCATTGCTAAGAAGTCACTGAAATCTCAAACTTATGGCATCATGAAATGTAGCTCAAGATTGGAGCTACCCATTGACAGAGTATCACGTAGAGAGAAGTGCAGGGCATCAAGAGCATGCAGAGAGCTCAGAATGTCTACATGGGAAGAGAAGGTTCACCACGGGACACACATGCACTCCTAGACTTTTCTTGACCTTGTCATAACAGGATTGTGAACACCATATAAATGATCTTTATGAAAACCACTATTACTATTTTCTATACTGTACCATAATAAATGAGACCAAAACACTATGTTATACCTATGATGAAGTGTTTATATCATGGATCACAAAGATAATGTATGGGACACGAAAGGTATGTGACAGTTTGTTAAATATGCATATTCCAAAGATGGAAATGACTTATTTATGGATTAGTAATTTCAACATGTAAAATATTCATTCAGTCAATGAGTATTTCTTGAGCACCTTCTATGTATCAGTCTTCATTTTAAGAGGTGTCACACTTTATTTTTACTTAGAAGTATCATTATTTTTATGTCATTTAAAGATGTTATTAATATAACTTTAAAGTCCATCATAGGATAATAAAATCCTCTCCCATCCCATTTGTAAATATATATATATATATTTTTTTAAAAAAGGCTTACGTGTCCCTGGGAGCAGTTTCATCACTATGAAATACAAAAAGGAGAGACAAAATTATTTATTTTCTTGTGACTCTTACAGCTCTACAGCTACACCCCCCACATTGTACTCCAACATGGATATTAATAATGCCCATTCCAGAGAGACAGGATGACAAGATGAGTGACATGGATATGAAACACAGGAGATCACCAGACTGAGTGCCCAGGGCAGCCTACGTGTGTGTGTGTGTGTGTGTGTGTGTGTGTGTGTGTGTAACTAATAACAAGATGACAGGGGAGGGGAGGGTGAAGGACTTGAGACGGACTTGGCCTCTTAGAAGGTGCATGGTTCCCCTTCAGCAGACTTTCCTGGGGGGCTTCCCATGAACCAATAGTCAAACTGCTCCTGACCTTATATTAGCCTGACCTGCAGAAGGACTTTCCTAGAGGACCGGATACCTTCTATGTGCATTGACCCATGAGACTGTCATTACTCTCATGAACCAGAAACCCTCAAACAAGGGCTTATGCTGTCAAAGGCTGAATATTTTACCCTTGTGACCTCACAACCCTAAGTGAGCAGCGATCCTATTGTCACCTTTTACACTTAAGGACCCCGAGGCTCCAGGAAATGCCATAGTCCTTACATAATGACACAAGAGAGCTCCACAGGATTTACCCCATCTTGGACCCAGAGCTGAATCCAGATGTTCCTAGAGCTTCTGAGATGCTGCTTCCTCACCTTCTGATAAATCAGCTCCACTAACCTGAAACTTTGTTTCTCTCTTACTGTCCCCAGAATGCTTGTGTCACTCTAATGTTCATAAGTTGAGATCATAGTCATCAAAGAGAGTGGCACTAGGAAGTGGAGGTCTTTGGGGACGAGTTCGGGACAAGCAACCCCAATGAGCTGGCTCACTGCTTCACCTGGGTGAGACACAGGGAGGGGCACCGTCTATGAACAAGCCAGTGAACCTGACTTCACCTGGGCTAGCACTTGCCACCTCCAGAACAGTGAGGGAGAAGTTTTTCTTTTTTTTGTAAGTGATCCTGTTTATAGTATTTTGCCTGGATACACAAATGCTATTTCTTTCCCTGAAATGGCATATTAAATTGAAAAGTTTGGAAATTGTTGTGAATTTCTATATTGTAAATTAGGTAAACCTTTCACCCTTCTAAAGAGATAAATACCTTTCTACTTTATTGTTTTTGAGGTCTGGCAAAGGTAGAGCATAAGCTGTTTTGGGCAACACTGCTTAAGATAAGGAAGCACTTGTCAGGACTGTACATTATCTATAGAAACGCCGTGGGAGCTCATGTGGGGGTTCCCCTGAACATGGCAACCATTTAACTGGATTATCCCATGTGGAGTCTGGGCTTCTAAAAGAAGGTGGATGCCCCTGCACACTGAAGTCAGACTCATTCCTTCGCACCTGAGCTACCCCTTCCAGGTGTGCTAAAGAACACTGGTTTGGGGCCAGCTGTGTGGATTTGATAAACACCACACTCACTACGTAGGAGAGCTCAGGGCTGCCCTGCTGGCCCTTGCTTTTCGTGGCGCCACTTCTTCTCAGCAGACAGGCCCCCTGGTTGACAGGTACAACCCAAGTGTTAGTGGAGCCTCAGAAGAGGACACCTGGCAGGTAATGCACAGTTACTTAGTGAATGTCCAGGATCACGGAAAGTGGCTTACGTCCAGAAAATGTGAATTCGTGAAAAGATTTTGGAAGAGAGGCTGGAGGTCCTTTTCTGGTTGACCATAATTTATGAAAAGGAAGGAGAAGAGAGGAGAAAAAGGAAGAAGGGTAAATCTGGAAGACAGTAAGCACTTAGTTTGATACAGAAACATGCTAAAGTGTGCATGCATTTAAACCGTGATGATCTGGAGTTATAAGTAGCATTTTTTGATGACACAAAATTTTAGTTGCTTCACATTTCCATTGTTAAGAAGTCACTGAAATCTCAAAGTTATGGCATCATGAAATGCTATGTAGCTCAAGGTTGGAGCTACCCATTGACAGAGTATCAAGCAGAGAGAAGTGCAGGGCATCAAGAGCATGCAGAGAGCTCAGAATGTCTACATGGGATGCGAAGGTTCACCACGGGACACATATGCACTCTCAGAGTTTCTTGACCTTGACATAACAGGAACGACATAGGTCATTATATAAATGATCCTTATGATAACCACTATTACCATTTTTTATACGGTAAAAAAAATAATGACACTGAAAACACCATGTTATCTCTAGATGAAAGGTTTATATCATGGATCACAAAGACAAAGTATGGGTCAAGAAAGGTAATTGACAATTAGTTAAGTATGCAGATTCTAAATGTGGAAATGACTTATTTATGGATTCTATGTGCCAGTCCTCTTTTAAAGAGGTGTCACACTTTATTTTTACCTAGAAGTATCTATTATTTTAATGTCATTTAAAGATATTATTAATATGACTTTTAAGTCCATCATAGGGTTACACAATCCTCTCTATCCCATGTAAAAAAATATATACATATATTTTTAAAAAGGCTTACGTTTCCCTGGGTGCATTTTCATCACTATAAGATACAAAAAGGAGAGACAAAATTATTTATTTTCTTGTGATTATTATGGCTCTATAGCTATACCCCCACATTTTTACTCCAATATACATGTTAATAATGCCCTTTCCAGAAAGACAAGTTGAGGAGGTGAGTGACATGAAAAGGAAACCCACGAAGTCCCCAGACAGAGCCCATGGCGGACTAAGCACTAGGCTGTGTGTGTGTGTGTGTGTGTTTGTGCCTGTGTGTATGTGTGTGTGTGTGTGAGAAATAACCAAGATGACAGGAGAGGGGAGGGTGAAGGAAGTTCTTGGAGCAGAAATGAATTCCAACTCTCCTAGAACTTCTGAGATGTTGCTTCCTCACATTGGGGAAATAAATCAACTCCACTGACCTGAAACTTTCTGCTCCTTCCTTACTGCCCCCAGAAGAGCAGACTGGCCAGGACACCTACCAGGACTCCCCTGCAGGGTGGCTGCTCTGGATG